GGTGTGTATCATTGTCAGGCTGGGTTGGATCTAAGGCTGAAAGTGGGCCTGGTAGGGGAACTGTGGGCACTCTTGTGCTAGGCTGTAGCTCTTTCTGGTGAACACAAAAGCCTGGGCTGGGACAGGCCAGGCTGGACAAGGTGGTGGTACCCATTGGCATACTTGTGGGCCAGATCTGGGGGTGCGGCAGGCTGTGCTAAGACGCAACATGAGAGCTGGATGGGTTATGAAACAGGATGGGCTAAGCCACAGCACATACCAACATGTACAAAAACCGGGGCTGGGGTGTGCCCCGGGGGGTTATTGAGGGTCATCCCAACTAGGCCTTGGCACCCATTGATATGCATGAATACCAGGTCTGTGACAGGCTGGACTGGGCTGGACAAAGGCATCCATCAGTTCACTTGTGAGATGAGGCTGGGACAGAACTGACAAGGCAGCTGCATCTACCAGTATGTGAGTTGATAGGCGCAAGACTCAATTCTGAGGATTCCTTTTGTGAGGTTTCTTGAGGAACTCTCCAACTAGATCCCTGGGTTTAGACTCCAGCCACAGGGAAATTCACAAAGTATGTGGTCTGGTCTTGGAGTGCATGTGACAGGACTGGGCCTTCTCAGTGGCTGACGCTTGTGCAGTAGACAACATGCCCAAATGCACATTAAGGACATGGTAACCAGCTCATCTAGGCTAGCAGAGGACATTGAGTGCCTTGTCAGAAAATGAAAAACAAAACAAGTTGGGCAACTTTCCTGGCCAAGTTTTAAATCATCATGTTCCTGGGCCTGTGGATGTGCTAAGGTATACTTTGTCAAACAGTAGACCTTAGAAACATTTACTCAACCTTAGTGCAATGAAATTGGCAATGTCAAAACTACCAAAACCACTCAAGTAACATCCTTGAAACATTCTTCCTCACATTGGAGTCTCTAAGGCATCATCAACTGATTGTCCTCTATACATGGGTGCTGATGTAGTTTCATGGCAAGGAATGGCCTCTTTCCTCTTACACCCAGCAGACAAAAGAGAAAAAAAAACAAAAAGAAGAAGAATTAAAACATCTGTTCTATCCACCTTCATCTATACCTCGACTCTCCCTGCTCTAATCAGAAACCCACATGGGCATGCCTCCTTCTCAGCTATGTAAGCAATATTAAAAATAAAATTAAGGTGGAGCGCAGTAGCCTAGTGGCTAAAATTTTCGTCTTGCATGCACTGGGGTCCTATATTGACATTATTTCCTATCTTATCTGTTCCACTTCCCATCCCACTCCTTACCCGTGGCCTGAGAAAGTAGTCGAGGACGGTCCAAAGCCCTGGGACCCTGCACCTGTGTAGGAGACCCAGAGGAGGTTCATGGCTCCTGGCTTCAACTTAGCTCAGCTGCGACCGTTGCGGCCACTTGGGGAGTGAACAGTGAATGGAAGATCTTGCTGTCTGTATTTCCTTCTCTCTGTACATCTGACTTTTCAATTAAGAAAAATAAATCTTAAAAATAATACTAAAAATAAAATTTAAGTTTAAAATTTAAAAAGCATAGACAAGAAAATTTCTGATATTCATTTATTATTAAATAAAATTCTGATTCATTCTAAAGATGTAAAGCATATTTGGTATCTTATATATAAGAAATTTAAATAAACTATAACATGAAATAATATATATATATATGTTATACATTTCTTCAAAGATACTGGTCAGCATATTAAAACCAGAAATAAGAACAGAGTTACAAGTAGTTTTAAATTTCCTAACTTCTAATCAGAAATTGCTAATAATCTATAACACATTTGTTATTTTTAACATGTACAAAAATTAGAATAATATATACCACCTAGCAGTAATAAAATATGTGTCTGCAATGATGTTTGCTCAGGAAACCATACTTTACAGAAGCAATGATTTATATACTTAAATATTCAAAGCAATTTTCCTTTGAGAAAAAATTAGAAACACATATCAACCCATTAAAATCAGGGGAAAGATGAAGGTGAACTCTCTCATGGCACACATATGGCTTAGACCACAAGAGTGACAATTTTATGCACAGATACAAGTGAGCTTTAATCCTTTTTGCCTATGAATGTCATTTGTTTTAATTTTTAAGATTTTTATTGGAAAGGCAGATAAACAGAAAGAGATACAGAAAGAAAGATCTTCCATCCTCTGAATCATTCCCCAAATGGTGGCTGGAGCTAAGCCAACCCAAAGCCAGGAGCCAGAAACTTCCTCTGGGCCTCCCAACTGGGTGCAGGATCCAAGGTCTTTGGCCATCCTCAACTGCTTTCCCAGGCCACAAGCAGGAGCTGGAAGAGAAGTAGAGAATCTGAGACATGAATGGGCACCCATATAAAATCCTGGCACATGCAAGATGAGGATTTAGCCACTAGGCTATCACACTGGACCCCAATTTGATTTAATTTTAACATGAGCACATTATTGGAATAACAATCAAAACCTTTTTAAAATTGCAAAATGAAAAATGTGGTATGATCCCCATAGCATTATTCTGACCAAATGTGCGATAAATCATTTCTGTACACATGAGTATCTTCTTTTAAAACAAGGCACTTACAAAATTAAATATAAAAATCCACAAGCCTAACAAGTTAATTACAACTTCAAAATATGGATTTAATAAGTGAGCAGGAAAATATATATTCTCTTATACCATTGGCATAAACTTTACAGAAAAAAAAGGACATGGGAACAGACGGCAAGGGATACAAGACAATGATGCGTGTCTCTGGATGTCAGAAAAATTCAGCTACAAATGTGTTCTTCATAAACTTAAATTTACTGGGGGGCTGCCAGAACCAATTTAATCATGTTAAGGGCCTGGACTATACAAAATACAGCTCACCCATTAAATCAGACATTAAAAATAACACAATTATAAAACCTATATTAATTTGGAAAGATAAGACCAACCAGATATGGAGAGCATATTCCAAAATAAAGCTTGATTCTATACCACATTTTTGGAGGTATTTGTTGTTTATGGATATGTTGGAAATAGTTCAAAGGCATTTTACTTGTTAAAGAGTGGGGTTGAATCATTATTTCCTTATCAATATGTATTTTAGTATCTTTATTCTGAGAATGTATAATATGTGTTAAAAATATTCAGAATTAAAAACAAAAGATAGTCCATTGCTCTAACAAGATAATGAAAGAGTACAAAACGTGATTGTCATACAAAGTCCAGATATTGTCCAATGTCCAGTTCTCTTATTATTTGTGTGCAAACTATGAAGTTTATGTAAACTTTCACTCTCTCAGTGGATGACTGCTTACTAATAACAAATGACAACCTTCCATATCATTGAACCTTTCAGTTCTACTTTTAAGACAGCTTGCTCAGGAAATTATCCTGAATGTAAGCAAAGTGCATATACTATAATACTACTGGCAAGTTTTATATATGTAAGAAAACCTGAAAGAACCCAGGTGTTCATAATGAGGAAATAGTTAAAGAAAAAAATAAGTGTCTCCATCTTCAAGTCTATCTAAAGGCAATACAGATATGCACACATATCCATCTTACTAACTAGTCCACCAATAAAAAGCAACATTGAAATGACACAGAAATATTTTAGAAGAATATTTAATGACATGAAAGGAAGTTCAAGAATATCTATATATCTATACCTATATTATATATTTATGTATGAAAAAGCAGATATTGAAACAGTATATACATTAAATTCACATTATATCACATGAAAAATACAGGGTAGGCACACATGAAAATGTTTAAGAAGAATACAGGATATAACTAGGGTTGATTACGGGTGACATTAATTTTCTTCTGTTAACTTGTCTGCTTTGTGATACTTTTATCCTGCAATAAAGCTGGGTTATTTTTCTGACAGCGAGAAAACACACAGGAAGTGGGCACAGGGGAAATGGGTGAATTAACAGTGTTCAAGTCCAGCAAAACGACCAAGAACAGTGGCATACCATTTGTAGCCCATCAAGCCGGCCACGATACACACGCACACACGAATGCACGCGAGCAAACGTGCACCCACACCCACACACAGACACACACATCAATTACAGTGAGCAGAAGACTATGCAGGGGGATGGGCATACTCTTTTGACTAGCTGCGCTGGCTGGCACAAGTGCAAATCCGCACAATGCTTATGAAGGGGGCCTTTTGGCAACACACGGGAAGTCTGTAAAACGTCTCTATGTGGATTCTGCAAGTCCACGGTTAGGGAGACCATCCAGGACGCTAGCAAAGATTTGGCTTGACAAGGAAGGATTCACTCATCAGAGCACGCAGTGTTGGCGTCAAACACAGGGAAAGAACTAGGCACCACCTGAATGTCCAACAATGCGGGGATGATTACAGACATGATAAGGTCCATGAAAACACTGGAGCACTCTGCAGGCACCGAAGATGACGTTTTGTAAGCCTGTTGAACAACATGGAGGGAAGTTTATGGGCTGATTTCTGTTTGGTTTTAATTGCTGAAAAAGCAGGTTAAGAAACACCACATAATATGAACCACTGTACAACAGGATGCTAAAAGGGAAGGTGGGGGGTGAAGAAGAGAGCAAAGCTAGTGGGGAGAGGGCCTGGGAAAACATCACAGAAAAAAAAGTGGTGAGAGTGGTTGTCTCTGGGGAGTAGGATCAGGGAGGGGGGAGCAAATGCTCTCTTGGTTTTCCCTCATCTGATTTCCTTCTTCCGGTATGTCTACCATGACATCGTTATCACCTGTGCAGTAAACAAAGAGAGAAAGAAAACATCTTTAAACCACAAGGAGAAGAGGCAGCGTTTGACCTATGCAATGGCACACATCAGTAAGATAATTCACAAGGTTCTTGGTGGGGGTGAAGGGAAGAGGAGGAGGAAGAGCAAAGGAGAGAGACAGGAGAGGAGGGAGAGGGGGAGCGAGAGAGAGAATGAGAGAGAGGTAAAGGGAGGAAGGGGAAGCCATGGGGAGGTAGAGGGAGAGAGGGAACTGGAAGAGCAGAAGGGGATTGAGGGAGGAAGGGAGGGAGAGAGAGAGAGAGAAAGAGAGAGAGAGAGAGACCTGCACTCCCAATACAATACACTGCTGGTGGGTTAGGCTGAGGGGGGTGGGACGGGGAGTGGGTTGGCTGGGGAGGTGCGGGGAGGCTGTAAACCGGGTGGAAGCCAAGATTTGGCTCTGCTGGCTGGATGCTCCTGGATGTGTTCATCGCAAGGTGGCCTCCTCATCGGTGTCTTCCTCGAAATCCTTGACGTCAGCACTGGTAGACTGCCTGGCCCAGGCTCCCCTTTCAGCCTCTCGCTCCTTATGGGACTTGAATCTGCCCACGAAGATTTTGCGGTAATTGAGGAACATGCCATTCATCGCATCTATGGCCCTCTCGGCCGACTCCTGCTTCTGGAAGTGCACGAACCCATAGCCCTTGGGCCCCTTTTCGTCGCAGGCCACTTTGCAGGACAGGATGTTGCCAAAGGCTGAGAAGATGTTGTACAGCGCCTTGTTGTCGATGGTCTTGCCCAGGTTCTTGATGAAGACGTTGCCCACCCCGCTTTTGCGGAGCGAGGGGTCCCTCTGGGACCACATGATGCGGACCGGCCTGCCCTTGATCACATCGAAATTGAGGGTCTCGAGGGCCCGCTTTGCGTCCACCGGTTGCTGGTAGTTGACATACGCGTAGCCCAGGGAGCGGCGGGTGATCTTGTCCCTGCAGATGCGGATGGAGAGGATGGGCCCGGCTGGGCTGAACTTCTCGTACAGCATTGCCTCAGTCACTTCGGGGTGCAGGTCGCCCACGTACAGCGAGGCCATGGGAAAGTCTGGGTTCCCCTCGGAACCCCCGCCCGGCTCGGCGCTCGCCTCTGCATCCACCACAGCGGCCGCCGCAGCCGCCGCCGCCGCCACGGCCGCCGCCACCTCCTCGTCCGCATCCGCATCCGCCTCCCCCAGGGGGGGCGCCGCAGCCTCCGCTGCTGCGGCGGCGGCTTCGGCCGCGCTGGCCTCCGCCGCCGCCGCCACCCGGGCGGCCTCCGCCTCCTCCTCCGCCAGGGCGGCCGCCGCCTCCGCCAGGGTGGCCGCCGCCTCCTCTACTGAGGCCTCAGCCTCCACCTCAGCCTCCACCTCGGCTTCCGCCTCCGCCACGGAGGCCTCCGCCACCGCCTCTGCCACGGTCGCCGCCGCAGCCTCCGCTGCCGCCGCCGCCGCCGCCGCTGCCGCCGCCGCCGCCACCGCCGCCGCCACTGTCGCCGCTGTCGCCACGATCGCCGGTGCCGCCGGGCCGCTGCCGCGACCTCCCTTCCCGCGAGCTGGGGTGGCCGGGGAGGAGGCGGGGAGGCGGGGGAGGGCACGAGGGCCGGTGGGTGCCGGGCCCGGGCCGGGGGCGCGAGCGGGGGCTGGGGCTGGGGCCGCGCCGAGCCGGCCGAGCTGGCGAGTCCTAGTCACCTGGGATGGCGAGCCCGGCCAGGAGCGCGCCGGTGCAGTCGCCGCAGCCCGCAGCCTGCAGCCTGCTGCTGGTGCGGCCGCTCGGTCGTGGGCTAGCGTGCGGGGCGCGGGCGGGCGCGTGTGGTGGGGGGCGGGGGGTGTTGGCGTCTGTGGTCCGGGCAGCTGGGAAGGCTTCTGTCTCTTTGGTTCCCCCTGTGGCTGCTGCGGGGCTGCGGGGCTGCGGGCGGTGGGAGGGGGCGGGAGCCGGGAACGCGAGGCCGCGGGTGGGGGTGAACTGGGGGTGGCGGTGGGCGTGCTCAGCCTCCCAGGTCGCCGGCACGGTTATGGAAAGGACGCCAGGGAAAGGACTCCGTTGTGGATGCGGGGAATATGGGGTCCACCGGCCGGAGGTGGTGGGGACAGGGGAAGGGGGCGGGGGTGGGGGGGACATCCTGTCCCCCCGTGGCCCCATAATGGAATGTCTCGATGATTCCATCAAGTGCCTTGCGAGCCGCTGTGCAGTGGCCTTGAGAATAAGATTGCCTGGCCTAGACAAAAAGCCAAGCATCATAGTTTGGGAACATTGGGGGGGGGGGGTTCCTGCCAGGTGGCACACTTCCCAACAGCACCAGCACCACAGTCACCCACCAGCACCAGCACCACCCAGCAAGGAACTCCCAGTCTGAGGCTCCCAAGCTTCCCACCCATTTTCTGAAGGAGTGGGGGGGAGGAAGAGGAGAGAAGAGAAAGAGAGACACAAGGGACAGAGAGAGAAGAGCGAGAAGAGAGAGAAGAGAGAGGGAGAAAGAGAGAGAGGAGAGAAAGGCAGGGGAGAGAAGGCAGCAGAGAAACAGAGAGGAGAGAGATGGGAGAGATAGAGGAAAGAGAGAGCAGAGAAAGAGAGAGGAAAGAGATAAGAGAGAGAGGAAAGAGATAAGAGAGGGAGGAGAGAAACAGGGGAGAAGCAGAGGAGGGGGGGAGAGAGAAAAGAGAGCAGAAGAGAGAAGGACAGGAGATAGGGAGGAAAGAGGAGACAGAGAAGAGAGAGGAGAGAGAGAGTGGGGAGGACAGATGCAGGGTTTCAGAGAGTGCTATCCTCATTCCCAGCGCTAGCCCCTCCTTCACATCACAGGGAAACCAGAAACAAGAGCCTGAGCTCCCTCATAAGGCCTAGGCACAGATACTTATGGGGCAAGTGTCTGAGAGCTGGGAGGACATGAGCTAGTTTTGTGTTTGTTCCTTGGAATCATCTGGGCTAGAATCCCTTCCACCTCCGGGCTGTGGCAAGATCCCACGTCTGCACCCTCAGACCGGACAGGCGGAGGCAAGAGAGTCAAGGTCAGCTGCCCTCAAGGGTAGGGTGAGGGAAGGCCAGCCAAAGGCTGAGACCAGGCCCTGGTCTGGTGCCAGGCACCATTTTACTCTTGGCGCTGCCCTCAGGGTGCTGAGGTCCCCAGCTTGGACCATGAAATGGTGTCTTTGTGTTCAGAAGGAGAACAGACGCCAAACCTGGAATCTCTCCACCATGACCTTCCTGGTCCCAGTTCCCCAGCGAAGGTCACGGAAGGTACACCATGTCCCTCGCCCTGGGGCCTAAGGCCCACATAAGAGCATGCGGCCAAGATGTGTCCTGATATGTTTTGGTGTGAGAGACAGATGAGTGAGCAGTATTCCGTGGTGGGTGCAGAGAACTCTCACAAAGCTAAATGCCAAAGGGGCACGTACATGAGCATCCATCAGAGTGGAGTGTAATGGAAGAGGCTGGAGTTTCACCTCCTCCGGGCAAGGTGGCCAGACACTCACCCTTCCAACTAGGACTCAAGCAAGGCCACTGAAGATGGACTTCCCCAAAGTAGGCGCTGGAAGATGAGTGGCAGCCCCGCGTGTGACTAGCGGGGAGGAATGGCACTCAAGCCCCTGGGCAGGATGGCACATGCAAGGCTACTTGTAGTGATGCCTACTCAGCTGGCGTGGACAGAGCTCACGGTCTCCACAAACGCTGGGTGGAAAAATGGGGCTGGAAGGTGTGGAGCCCTGGGTTTCAGGCACCACTTGGCATGCTCCAGGAGGAAAGCCGAATTGGAGCCTTAGGGATTACACATTCGCTGTCAGCGTGCAGGCATGTGATCCACCAGCTTAGGAAGGCTACCCAGGAACCTTCAAGACAAAAGGAAGAAAGCCAGCTGTGACCAGCTCAGAGACTCAGAACAGCCCTGCCTGCAGTGCCCTGAAGTAGGAGGGAAAGAGGGTCCCCCGCTGTATGCCAGCGAGGAGGTCATTTACAGAAGTCGTGGGCAAAGTGTGGTGCCCTCCACCCCTAGGGTCTCTTCACTCCAGTTCAGGCTGCCCCTGGAGGTACCAGGATTGTCAGCAGAGGGCTTTCGGTGCCGCATGGTTGGACTGTGGTGGCTGTCTATGTGATTTCATATGCCTGCTGGCTTCTTTGCCCTCCCAGTCCCATCCACCTTGGCGGGAAAATAACACTGTTTGCTGTGGCAGCCATGTTGGCTGCACATGAGAAGTCACAGTCACGTCCTTAAACAACAATGAACCCGAGGCAGTGAGAGGCAAGGTGGGGTGCAGGGCAGAGAGAACATTCCATCGCTGCCTGGAAACCGTGCTCAGGCAGCCGAGAAGCAGACACACTCAGTGTCTCGTCAGCTCCCAGAGTCCTTCTCCAGGCCCCCAGGCAAATCTAGTGCCCACGAACCAAGGGACGAAAAACGAGGAAAAGCCTGGTGTTCGGCCTGTGGCAGGCTGCAGTGAGCACCGTCACCACTCTTAGGAGCCTTCTCCTGGGGAGCTCGGTGGATTCCAGGCAGGGAAAGACAGCTCTGCTTGCCTCTTCCAGGCGATTGTCCAGGAGGTTCCTGAGAAAGCAGAGGCCAAGGGGGAAGCTCTGATTCCTGAGGCAATGCTGTGAAGAACATCTCTTTCTAGCAGACAGAGCTGGCAAGGGAGGCTTGTGGGCACCCAAGTGCGAGATCTCTCCTGGCTTTATCTGCCAGTCCAGAGAGCCAGCAGAAATCTGTGACGGTCCCACACAAAGAGGCTTCAGGATGTCCTGTTTGGGCCAGCTAATCCCCAAACCTGAAAGCAATCCTTAGAAGGCTGCACTCGCGACAGTGCCAAGGGGACTGCTAAAGTGACAAGGACACAACTGGGGACTGATCTCCATGACTTTCTGTGGAGTCTTTCTCAGCAGAGCCCTCATCTGCTTTTCTTGCCAGTGGCCATTCGGTTCCTGGGACCTGCAATAGAAAGTGTCCTGAATACTGCCTGTGGTGACAGAGGCAAAAACCAAGAGCCCAGGGAGTGTCAGTGGAGGGAGGATAAGAGGTGTCCTTGGTGGGAGTGCACCCACGCGTGGAAGGCACCGAACGTTTATGGAGGACTTTCTGTGTTCCACGGACTCTGCTGTCCTTTGTGTCCCTACAGTCAGTGACACAACTTCCTGATGGGGAGGCAGTCAGTAGACACGCCAGGCAGCTGTGCATGATCTCAGGGGAGAAAACGCATGTTTCAGGACATCTTGCCAAGGGTCCCCATGGAGTGCAATGCCGGGGAGATGAAACTTCTATCTCAGGGTGATGGCTAAGGCTCTGGTTCTAGAAACAACCAGGGGGAACCGTGCCTGGCAGGGGAACCACAGCTCCCCTTTGGTGGGGAAAAGGGGGCACTGAGGGTGGTGGTGGAGGCAAAAGGATGCAGTATGGTTGGATCCCAGGGTGAGAAGAGAGTAGAGGGAAGGAACAGAGGAAGAAGGGAAATGCAGTGGTGGTGGGGGGAGTGAGAGCCACGATGAAGGGTTTGGTTCTTATTCAGAGCACTGTGGGGACTCAGATGGAAGGACTGAGATGCCATGATCTGACTTACATTGAGTAATGTCTTTCTGGCTGCTTGCTCTGTGTGGAAAATGTTACAGGTGGGCGGAACACAAAGGAAAGCAGAGACCAGCAAGCAAGTTCTTGCAGTATAGGCCAGTGGAGAGATACAGTGCCTGTCCCAGGCAGGAAGTAGCGACTTGTAGAGCTGTGTATAGGTTTGCATGCTGTTTTGGAAACAGAAAGAACTGTGCTTGCTGTGAAAGGCAGTCAGTGAATCAACTTGAGAAAGGATCAGCGCCACAGGGTTCCCCTCCATGTCGTCATCCCAAAGGTGCTGTGAGCAATCATGGGCAATCGGGGGAGTGCATGGGCAAACTGCGCAGGATGGAGAAAGACAGTTGGGTGTGTCAGCAGCTCTTATTTGTATGTGCTAAATTTCTGGCGTCTTTTTGTCACAGAAGGGGATGCGCCAGGTTACGGAGACAAAGGAGCCAGACATGCTTTATATAAAATGCCTCGGAATCGGGCAGGAACACCTCAAGTGAGGTAGTTAGGAAAACATGCAGGGTTGTTCCCGGAGATACGCTGACATGGAGAAGTTGAGCTGAAGAGGATAAGCCAGCAAAAAATTGAGAAGGAAAAGGGCCGTACAGTGTCCTCCCTGTCTCTTCACTGCCTTGCGTGTCTAAACCTGCCCTTACCTCACTGCCTTGCACGTTCAAACCTACCTTCTTTCCAGAACTGTGTTCCAGACTTGGTGTTTCTCCAAGGCCCTGCAAACTAAAACCCAATTTCCCTCCAAGGCCTTACACTCCAAGCCTCCTTTCTCTCCATGACCCGTGTAAACCTGCTTTCTCTGCAGAGTCCCACAAATTGTATATCCAAACTCACCTTGAATCCAGGACCTTTCCTGCCCAACCTCAAGGTCATCACTCGGGTCCTGCTCTAGTTACACCTGCCTGAGACTTGGATAACAATGGAGCAGTAGGGTTTGGGCAGTAGGGTTTGGGCAGTAGGGTTTGTCTTTGTATCGTTTCTCGGAGGAGATTTCAAGTGAGGCAGCTTGTCAGACAGATGCTTGATCTAGCAGGCAAGACACTGCTTAATGCCGTCATCCCGCAGCCAAGCACCTGACTGTGGGTCCCTGGCTCCAGCTTCTGACTCCAGCTCCCTACTAACGCTGACTCTGG